AAAAGAAAAAAATAATTGTCCTGGCTGCCCACAATGTCCTGGGGGGTTTTAATGTTTTAATTAAAAAATGTTAATTAAATTTAATGTTAATTATGGCCCAATGATGGATTTAAGGGCTGAGTGAGGTTTATAAAATAATATAAAATTGTATATATTTCTATATTATATAATTTATAATACTGTAACTAAATTGTAATTTAGAATTTATAATCATGTATATTTTATATTTATATATTATACATATTATAAAATAATAGATATTATAATGATATATATTTCTATATTTTATAATTTATAATATTTCAGCTAAATTGTAATTCAGAATTTATATTTATATATATTTTATATAATATTATTATATTATAAAATAATATAATATTATATATTATAATGATATGTATTGATATATTGTATAATTTATAATTTGTAATATTGTAACTAAATTGTAATTCAGAATTTATATTTATATATATTTTATATTTATATAATATATTCTATATTATAAAATATTACATTTTATAATGATATATATTGATATATAATTTATAATATAGTAACTAAATTGTAATTTAGAATTTATATTTATATATTTTATATTTATATTATGGATATTATAAAATAATATATAATTCTATGTATTTATATATTATATAATTCATAATTTGTAATATTGTAACAATTGCAATTTAGAATTTATAATTATATATATTTTATATTTACATTATATCATGTATTTTATAAAATATTACATTATTATATATTATAATTATCTATATTTATATATAATTTAGTATTTGTAATATTGTAACTAAATTTTAATTTATAATTTATATTTTTATATATTTTATAATTTATATTATATATTATCATAAGCTATTATTACATGTTATAATTACATATTTTATATATTATATTGATATATTATAATAACATACTATATATTATAAGAACATAATATGTATTAAAATTATATATATTTTTATATATTTTATAAAATATATATATTTAATAATGATGATAATGATAATAATGATAATAATAATGATAATAATGATGATAATAATAATAATAATAATAAATATATAATTATAAATTTTATAATACTGTAAATTGTGATTAATTTTTGTAACCCTCAGATCATTTTTAATTTCGAATTTAATGAATTTGTGGAGTGTTTTATCTGATCGATGACACTGGAAAGCAGCAGGAAAATAAACACTGAAAGAAAGAACACGAGGAGGAATTTCCCACTGCCCCTCTGGTTATCAACAACTGGGGCCTTGAGAGGAAATAAAATAAAAATAAAAATAAAAACAAGAATAAAAATAATTAAAAATTAAAATAAAAAGAAACAAAAAAAACCCCAAAATTAAAAATATAAATAAAAAAAATAATAAAAATAAATAAAAATAAAAAATAAAGATAAAGATAAAAATAATTAAAAACTAAAATAAAAATAAACAAAAATAAAAACAAAGACCAAAAACAAAAACAAATAAAAATAATTTAAAAAATAAAAAATTATTCAAAGTAAAAATAATTAAAAACTAAAATAAAAAAAATAAAAATAATAATAAAAATAAAGATAAAAATAAAGATAAAGATAAAAATTAAAAAGAAAAATAAAAATAAACAAAAATAAAAAAGAAAAAGAAAGAAAAATAATAATAATAAATAAATAAAGATAAAACTAAAGATAAAAATAAAAAATAAAAATAAAAACAATTAAAAGCTAAAATAAAAATAAACAAAAGAATTCAAAATAAAAATAAAAACAATTAAAAACTAAAATAAAAATAAAACCCAAAAAAAGAAATGAAAATAAAAATAAAAATTAAAAAGAATTAAAAACTAAAATAAAACCAAAAAGCATTTCAGTTCCACCTGCAGGATGGAGTGGATGTGAAGGAGACAAGTGGAATTCCTGGGAGTGTAAGTGCTGGGAATGTTGGAATCTGGAGAATCCTCACGGAGATGCAGGGGATGGAGTGGGAAAGCAGGGATGGGAATTGGTTCCCACGAACTGGCACGAGTTATTCAGAACATCAGCTCCTGAGAAATATTTCAATTTTCACTGTATTCTTGTGAAATCCCAGCTGCCAAGCACCCAGCACTGCCAAAGTCAATTTTACCCTTTATTATAATTATTATAAATATCAATTTCTAATAATAAATTGAAATTTATTATAAATTTATAATAATAAAATTATAATAAATCCACTGCTCCCAGGGCACTGAGAGGATTCCATCAACAGCACCCAGAGATGGATCCTTGAGGCTGGGGAAGAGCACCAAGCTCATCTCCTTGGGAATATCTGGAGCAAGGAAAAGGAAACCACCTATTAATAATATCAATTACTCTTAATAATATAATAAAAAATATATAATAAATATAATAATAATAAATATAATAAATATAATAATAATAAATATAATAATAATAATAACATTATTAATAATAATAATGATGATAATAATAATATTTTCTATTATTTCTATTATTATTATTATTATTTTAAATACCTATTGAATCAAGGAGTTTTTCCATCTCACTGTTCTGATTTTGCTGCTTCGGGTCCTACTGAAAAGACCTGGCACAAGATTTTCTGTAAGCACATTTAGATATTATTATTATTATTATTATTATTATTATTATTATTATTATTATTTAGAATCCATTTGGTTCTGCATAGCAGAGGAAAATGGGGATTGCCTGTGAATTATCCTGCCTCTTTCAGGAACATTCACTGAGTGCTTTGCTTAAAATCTGGCAGTGAAATTCTTCCCATGAATTAATATTTTGTCCAATTATTTTGTCCATTAATTCAACTTCTATATAAATATTATATTATATTATTATATTATATTATATTATATTATATTATATTATATTATATTATATTATATTATATTATATTATATTAGTGTTATATTTAATATATTAAATGATATCTTAATTATAGATTATAAATTAATTATAAGAATATAATATAATATAATATAATATAAT